TCTTTGGTGAATTTCTTTTTCTCTCTCATGTCATTTGAGGGGTTTGCAAGCAGGAGAAGGACTCTGTTTCTGTGTTTCTAAAGTTATAGTCCAACTAGAACCATGTCATTATCATTCCATAACATGAAGTGTCATAACCCCAGGTACATGTATGGCATTCATGGGTTGCTATGGGAAACACCATAGGAACTCCAGTGAAGAGTAATTACTGTTGCACATGCAATTACCTTTAATTCTTTTATTATGTCTTAACCTGGTATTTTAATTTTCTATACCACTTGGGTATTTGGAGATGTTAAGATTTTTATACAAGTTCAATCTACCTTATCCAAAATGTTTGGGACTTGCAGTGTTTTGGATTTTGGATTTTTTTTTAAAAAAAAAATGGAATATGTGCATATGCATATAAATGTGTAATGAAATATCATGGAGATCGGCCCCAAATCTAAACACAGAATTCATGTATGTTTCATATATACCTTATACAAATAGCCTAAAGGCAACATTACACAATAATTTTAATCATTTTGTGCATGAAACCAAATTTGTGTACATTGGACCATCAAAAAGCAAAGGTGTCACTATCTCACCATCCATGAAAAAAGTTTTTTTTTTTTTAAATATTTCGGATCTCGGAATTCTGGATAAGGGACACTCAGCATGTACATATACAAATAGTTGATCGGAGGCAAATCTCATGTGAATGTCAGAGAGGTTTGCTCCCAATTAAGTTGTTATAGGTTTGTACTGACCATGCTGGCTGGTGGGTTTTGGGAGTTGTGGTCCAAAAACCAACTTTTACAAACTCTGGCAAAGGGCAATGTGGTTTAGTGGATAAATTTTCAGGCTGACACCATCTAGTTATGAAGCTTATTGAAAGACTTTAGGCCAATCAGTATCTTTCATTCTAACCCACTGCACAGGGCAGTTGTGATAGGCTTCCGAGGTCATGTTACCCAAAGAAAGATGTGGGGACAGGGGACTTAGCTCCTTTTCTCCTGGGAACCTTAACTAGTGTTCCAAAAGGCCATTGTGACCTCTCAAGAACATGCTGGCTCCAGATACAAAATATGAAAATATGGGGACTAATAATAAAGTCCATGTTCCTCTAGAATCTTCTTTGGGTATAAAGGAAGCCATGGAAAAGAATAATTGTTGGAGAGCTTGGAGAGTTACTTTGAAAAAGAAACATTTTCTTCTTGTGCCCTTTTTCTGTTATTACTTGTTTTCTATTAATATTTTCTTTGGTTTAATAAAAATGTTTAAAGAAATATTTTCTTCATAAAGAGTTACTTGTTATGGTTACTTGTATTTATATAAAAATAATCAATTTAGTTACATGTTAGTAACACAATGCTTTTTAATGCTGCCTACAAAAATTGCCTTTAGATCATCAGGAGCATCTCCACAAAAGTAACAGCATAAGAGGATTGAGTAAATGTGCTGCTGACATTTTACTTTTTAAAAGTAATGTCGTTACCCTCCCCCCCATGAACATATTCCAAGTAATGTCATTACTTGTAACTTTCGAACCTTTGATTGTTTGCTCCATCCCTCTGTCAGCTGTTGTTCCAAGAGGAATCCATTGACAAGCTGGGAGACTCTACTAGGCTAATGATTTCCCTAGACTATATTTTTTAAAAGCTAGATAGCAGCAATTCAAGTTAACACAATTTTGCCACTGAGTCATTCACACTGATGGCACTGGTTTTTGTTTGATAATGAAATGAGACAGGCCGCTTGATATTCCAGTTCATTATTGATTATGCCTGGAAAAAGTGAGTGTGTAACAATCATATTACATTAGCCATGTGACTGTGCCAGATATAGAAGCAGTGTTTTTATGGAGAAGGTAAAATTAACTGGGACAGCTGCTCCTTGCTAGATATGAAATAGGGCAGCTCATATAATAAGCACTGCAAAACAACATGAGGCAAATGGATTTACCTAGAATTCAAAATGTAATAGCAATAGGCAAAACGATCCAAGACATTTGTCCCATGTTTACACATATAATTAATAATAATAATAATAATAATAATAATAATAATAATAATAATAATAATTTTCTAAGTACTTCTGAACACAAAATGAAAAAAGTGGCCTCTCATTTTGATAAGACTGCCTAATAATACTCAATACATTTGTGTGATATTCCACAATTGACTCACTTTAGCTCCTTTTCTGCAGGTATTCCTTTCAGGATGAAGAAGACATGTTTATGGTAGTGGATTTACTCCTGGGTGGTGACCTACGTTATCATCTCCAGCAAAATGTGCAGTTTACTGAGGAAACTGTGAAATTGTATATCTGTGAGATGGCATCAGCTTTAGACTACCTGTGCAGTCAGCATATCATACACAGGTAACCACATGTTGAGTACTAGGACAAGTAGACAAACTAATGGAGATTCTGGCTCATTAGGCACTGCTTTTCAACTGGTTTCACCTATGAAATTGCACTTGTACATGATAGAAATTTTAGTTAGTTAACCTCAAAGTACCACTGTTATAGCAATAGCAAGTACATTTCTATACTGTTCATCATTGAATTAAGCACTCCCTTAGTGGTAATGTGTAAGCTAATTGCCCCCAACATGCTGGGTACTCATTTTAGTGACCTACAGAAGGATGCAAGGCTGAGTGCACCTTGGAGCCCCTGGGATCAAACTCACAACTTTGTGGCTTGGAGTACACGCATTTAACCACTGCGCCACCAGGGCTCCCTGTTAGCATGGGAGTATAAGATAATTTATGACAGAGGAAAGTGACCATCAGGTGATTTGCACATCAGCACAACTCTAATGTGAATCTAAGTTGTTATCTACTCATTTAGCATTTATACAAAGAGGTGTGGATATGCATATAATTGCTTCCATTCCTACCTTTAGATGCAGTTTTTTGACAATAGGCTTCTATGATTATGGTTGCAACTAGAATGTAACTAGCTGTTAGATCAGCTGTGTTTCTTTATTAGAACTAGTATTTCTAAATTACTACTACTGTTGATAAAGTTTAGAGATGTTATCATAAGTATATTTTTTTTTAATTGGCTTCCATATTTAAGAATGTTGAAGAGATTCTGTGCATACAGGATACTTAAGTGTTTGGGCAAACAGCAAGTACAGTCCTCTGATTTGGATGGGAATAATGACAATTGACATCATTTCCCTGAAGAAAATAAAAAATAAACCTTTTTTAAGCTGCTGTTTGTGTGCATTAAGTAACAGTCCTCTGCTCACTTTTCCTGGGCGTAATCTCCATAGAATAGGGGGGTGTACATTTGAGTAACCATAATTAGCATTATACTATTATTGTTATTTACATTTTTATCCCAACCTTACCCCAAAGAGGTCAAATTAGTGCACATGGCTCTGTTTTACCATTTTATCTTTTTACCAAATGGTGTGAGGTGAAGTTGGCTGTACAGTAACCTAGGTCATCATAGCTGAGTGAAGATTTGAACACAGGTCTTCTTGAACTCCAGTCCAAGAGTCTAATCCAGATGTAGATTAGTACATCTGGTACTCTCTGGCTGTTTTAGATTGCAACTCTTGTAAAATCCAACCAGTGCAGCACAGTTAGGGATTATGGGAGTTATACTGCAAAACATCAGGAGGATAGCCTATCCTTCCTCAGGCCTCAAGTACCAGATGTTTACAGCTGGCCATTGGTGCTATTCATTTTTTTGTTTAAACTGAACCTTTAAAAAACTGGATCTGGCCAGAACGGTGCTCAGAACATGACATTTTAATGTATTTTTAAGATACTGTTTTTAAATGAGTTTTCATTGAGAAGGGTCTGTACATTTCACACCATTGTTATTGTTTTTAGCAGAACTGAAAATGTTTCTATAATCTAAAAGCTTCCTTGGGCATGTTGCATTATACACTTTCTCTGTTGTCTTTTATATTTTAGAATATAATTTTACATTTAAAAAAAATTCTGTTTTCCAGAGACGTGAAACCAGACAACATTCTCCTTGATGAACAAGGTAAGGGCGGAGGGATGCTAATTATTCCTACTGCCTCTGCATCTGAATAGTCTGCTTTTTTCCAGTGCTTTGTGCCTTGTGCATTCATTTACTTGTTCCAATTTTATACGCCAGTTTTCATGGTGGTGAACGATGCGCACAAGGTTATGGGATTCAGGAGTGAATTGATTTTGTTTATCAACTGTCAAGACTCATTTCAGTGAAGAATTAGTGGTAATTGACATTGATTAGTAGCTTCTATTACTTGTTCTGGAAATACTCATTCTTTTGATAAATGTAGCTTTTTACAAAAGCAATTAGAGCTGAAGCCTTATGGGATATGCATTGTCCTTTGATGATACAGATATCTTGTACAGCTGACATATTTACACATTTTTCACAAGTTTGGCATCTGTTTACCTGCTTGGTTAGATAGAAATCAGAATGAAATGGGTGATTTAAAGAAAGATGCCTCTGTCTACTGGGCTTTGGTAGGGAAACTGACAGTAACTTAATGGGAGGTCACCTGTATAGAAAGCATATTTTTATGCATCTGCAACTAGGGCTGAAGGAAGTCCTGTCTCTAACCGCAATCCAAAAACATAATCAGTGTTAGGAATATTCTTCTATATGTTTTCGGGTTGCAGTTCCCATACTTCCTTGCCATTGGCCATAATGGTTTGGATTGATAGAGGTTGTAGGCTCACAACATTTGGATGGCCACAGTTGCAAACTCCTGGTGTAGAGGTAAAACTAAACTAGCTGGCCCAGTCAAGCAGGGGTTTCATCCTTCAGTTCAGTGATGGGCATGCTCCTTATTCTGCTCAAAATTAACCACATGTGTGCTCATTTTCCTATGGAGTTTTCATTGTTGTTTTGTGCCTTCAAGTCATTTCAGATTTACGGCGACCCTAAGGTGAACTTGTCATGGGATTTTCTTGGCAAGATTTGTTCAGAGGAAGTTGTGCCATTGCCTTCCCCTGAGGCTGAGAGCATGTGATTTGCCCAGGGTCACCAAGCAAGTTTCACGGCTGAGCTGGGAATCAAACCCTGGATTCCAGAGTCGCAATCCAACACTCAGACCACTATGCCACACTGGCTCTCAATGGAGTCTTACACACACATATATAAAACCTCCTGTGAATGATAGCAAGGCTGCTGGCAGACTGAAGAATTAATGCAGTTTGACAGCACATTAACTGTCATGGCTGAAAGCTATGGAATTCTGAGATTTGTCATTTTGTGAGATATTTGGCCTTGTCTGTCAGCAATATCTGATGCCACAACAAACTATAAATCTCAGGATTCCATAGGAGTCATGACAGTTAAAGCACTGTCAAACTGCATTAATTCTGCAGTGTGCCAGCAGCCTAAGAGTCATTACTAAGAGCTGAAACATGTACCATATTTATATAAGGTTTATTTCCCCCTGGAACCTACTATTGAGATGAAATATTAGGGACGAATGTTTGTATGCTTCCTCAGCAACCACAGGATAATAATGTGTGTGTGT